ATACAGAAAGGCTCATATGACCGCTAACAATATCCATCAGTGACTGAATAAAACCACTTACGCATGGCTGAGTCTGGAGATCCCAGAGAACAGATATCCAAAGGAGAAGCCCATGAAAGGCATGGGAGCGCCAATGGCCAAGAGTGAAGGAGACAGCACAGCCATGACGATGTCTCCATTTTCGATGCATGTTAAGATAAAGATCACCACTAAAAAAAATCTCCATTATAGTGAGGCGACTGTTGTTGTGATTTGGTGCTATATCAATAAAATTGAATTGAATTGAATTGATGACTACCTGAGAACAACAAGACAAATCACTGTTTAGCTTTTATTCTTGTTTTATATTGTTAACAATTAATTATGTTGTTCTATATTTTAATTATTCAGTAAGAAGTATACCGTAAGAAGTACAGAGGTTATATAGAACATTGTTATTCCAAAAAACACGATGCTGGCGTGACCACAGTGAGTGCACACGTCTAATGTTGCTCACAGTGGTCCAAGGGACTGCTCAGGGAGTTTGTGTGTTTGCTCAGACACACAAAATTCTAAGAATTAGAAGGAACATTGCTCACCAGCCACTTTATTAGGTAAACCTGTTCAACTGCTCATTAATTCAACTCAATTTTATTTTATTTATACAGCACTAAATCACAACAGTTACCTCAAGTCGCTTACAGAGAAGCAAGTACTTTGGCAACAGCGGGAAGGAAAAACTCCCTTTTAACAGGAAGAATCCTCCAGCAGAACCAGGCTCAGGGAGGGGCGGGGCCATCTGCCAGGAGTGGTTGAGGTGAGAGAAGGTAGATAGGACATAACACATTCTGTTGAAGAGAGTCAGAGATTAAGTATGATTCAGTGCAGTGAGGTCTATTAACACAAAATGAGTTTGAAAGGTGATTGAAGAAGAAATACTCAGTGCATCATGGGAATCCCCCAGTGGCATTTTAAGCCTGAAAGCAGAGATAGACAAACTCTATCTGAATCCAAATTGGAAGCTGGTTCCGTGGAAGATGGGCCTGAAAACCGAAGGCTCTGCCTCCCAATCTACTTTTGAATACTCTAGCAACAACAAGTAAGGTAGTGAAGTGCTCTAATAGGGTGATATAGTATTATAAGGTCATTAAGATAGCATGGGGCCTGATTATTCAAGCAGGATTTTGAATTCAATTTTGGATTTAACAGGGAGCCAGTGAAGGAATCCAAGAGAGAAAGGAGAAATATGCTCTCTCTTTCTAGTCCTTATCAGTACTGTTGCTGCAGGATTTTGGATTAACTGAGGGGTTTTCAGGGAGTTTTTAGGAGATCCTGATAATAATGAATTACAGTAGTCCAGCCTAGAAGTAATAAATGCATGAACTAGTTTTTTAGCGTCACTCTGAGACA